TATCCAGTGCAGGTTCCCAGTTCCCCATGGATCATCCATCCATCTTCCAACTGCTTATCCGGTGCAGGTTCCCAGTTCCCCATGGATCATCCATCCATCTTCCAACTGCTTATCCGGTGCAGGTTCCCAGTTCCCCATGGATTACTGCAAATGAAATCAATAGATCTATAATCTGGAGCAGGAACTCGTGTGTGTGCGTGCATCATGCATATTTTACATTGGTCCCCACAATGTGGTAAAAACTTATTTTGACATTGTGGGGACCATTTTTTGGGTCCACACAAGGGGAAACTCAATTCTGTAAACATTTGTGACTGCAATCAAAAAACTAAAAATACCAAAAGTCTCATATTTTATTTGATTACTTATGGTTAAGGTTAGGGCTGGGTAGGGGTTAAGGTTGTCATTGTTTTTTTAATCATAATCTTAATGCCATTTTTTATAATCCACTAATTTACAAGAATTAGTCTTTGAGATTGTATTTCAAATTTTCAGTCAGTAAACTGATGATGGTCATTTTCATCTTTATCTCATTAGTACTGTCGGCCAGTTTATCATGTTGTGTGGAAAGTTGTGACTCTTCGCCTGCGATCAGAAGGTCATCGGTTCAAATCCCATGCTCAGAAGAGTGATGTCACTGTTAAGCCCTTGAGCAAGGCCCTGAACTCCCAGTTGATCCAGAGACGTTGACCCTGCTTTCTCAAAAAACGCAGTGTGACAAGTCAGTCAGGAGGGATCATCAGAGTACCTATCAGCTGAGAAGGCTATGGAGGCATGGCTGACTTTGTGGAAAGTTTTACTGACGTTCACACATGACTTTGTTCGGATTGTGCTGTATTGCAATAAATGACAACAGTTACGTTCTTGCTTTAGTGAGATACAGCATGAATTAGTTGTATGTTATACCCACATGTAGATTGTGGGAGGCACCCAGAGAACCAGGAGGACTGGAACCATGAGCCCTGTCTTTACATACACCTTGACAGTGAAAGACTACGGCCATCTGGAACTTTCCACTTCCGGTACATGTCCGCTGTGTGCATGCTGTTAGAGAGCATTAGGGTTTGATGGGTTTTTGAAATAGGCAACTGTACCTTGCCGGTCATTCATGTTATTAAATGTGCTTGTTACTCATTGAATTTGTCCAGACTGATAAAATTAAATGCTCATCTACAAGTTCTGAAAAAAATCCCTAAATGTAAGTGATACATCGGTGTATTCTACTGCAGTGACAAATGATTCTGATTAAATTACATGATGCAGAAATGCAATGGTCTGGTAATGATACTGTTGAGTTTTGCCTGCTTGCCTGCCGCTGGTAAGGTCTGCATGGTCCAGCAGACCTGGTGTTGAATGCACATGCTCTAACGAAAGGCCGATGTGGGTCTCCAGCCTCTGCTGCATTGAGAGGGCAGAGGCACATCACGATAAGTACAGCGACATTACATGCTGATATTTCCACCTCAGGCCCGGTGACTTTGCTAGTGAAAACACACTAGGAAATGAACGTAAACCTTCCTGTCTTTTTGGGGTAAATGTAGTGTTTTTTTTTTTTAACCAATTCGCACCAAAATTATTTGTCTTCAAGTCGCTTGTCTGCATTTTGTTTTTGTGTACAAGACTGGTAGCTTGCAGTGGTCAGTGACATATGACATATTCTGAGAGCTTTTTGCTCTTTTCTATGTGGCTTTGTTCAGTCAAGCCTCTGGGAAAACTGCGGGCAGTGAAGCACCTCACACGATCACTAGCCGTGCGAGCGTTCACATCAGGACATAATGGGCCCCGTGGTTCTCACCCAGACTGTAGTTAGTCGTTGAATTACTGCTCCGGTCTGCAGTCAAAACTCCTACAGGCAACAGAGAGAAATGCTCCCTAAATACTTATTTGATCAGCTCTTGTTCAGTTTGTCATGCCTGATTACCCAGGTTGAGTGCAAGCTTCCTGTTGGGTCAGATTCAATTCTTTAGAGATTTTAACAATGACACTTTGAGTCTCCCCTAACATACGGTACTGGTGGGATGATTTTTATATAAGCCTGTCATACCTACATATAAGCCTGAGCCCTATAATAAGCCCTATAAAATTGCATGTATGCAATATGCATCTTCTAGTGTAGGGTAAAACTGTTTCTCTGTCTTGTCAAAGGGAAATTTATGCAGGTATATCATTAATGCAGTTGGATTTCTCCTGTGGCTTGAGGTGATGAAATACTGCTCATTAGATTGGTGAGGTTTAGCATTAGAGCCTGGGTTAGATTTAGGATTAGCATTAGGCTCTTGTTCTGAATACAGTTAATCTGAGGATTAGGTTCAGGATTTTCATTGGGCTCAAGATTAATGCTAATCCTGAGCCTAATGCTAGAGTCAGGGTTAGGCTCATGGTTAACGTTAGGCTCACTATTAGGGTTAGGCTCAGGGTTGGGATTAGGATTTATGTGGGACCTGACTTGTGTGCAGGGTACTCTGGTTTTATACTGATGACTTACGGAATCATGCACATAAAATCAGACATATAGCTCTTGTGTTTAAGGTAAGGAGCATGCACTGATTATAGCACCCACCGCACGACTAACTACCTCAGTGATGAGAGCCTGAGTGTAGCTATGTGGTAGGTGATCCCTCAGCACCACACTAGTCCAAATAGACCAATGTAAGGGGTTTCCCCCCCCCCCCGTGGCTGGACTGCCAATCTTGCCACCAACCCCCTTAAGTTGGAGGACCTCCTTACAGGGCTGGATGTAGATTAACATCATACCCAGGACAAAGCAATTGTAGGTCAAGGGTCTTGCTCAAATCGCTCTAGGCATTCACAGGATTTGAACCAGCAACCTTCCAGTTGCTGGCACAGATCCCTACCCTCAGAGCCTCCACTCCTCAGGCATCGCTTGTGTTTGGTATTACACTAAATGCCATACCAGAGCGGAAATGATTTGTGCTGGTTTATTACAGTCGCTTCTGAGTAATGTGCACCTTGATTTATTTATCTGAAAAGCATATAAGCCACTAATTGAAAATCTGCACCTGTTTTTAGTACACTGCCACTCAGATGAATGCATCCTTGCTGCATGACAGCCTTTGTGTGAGTAACAGGTTTAAATGCTGTGCTGTTTTATATCTTACAGCTCCAGATCATTTGTTTTCCTGATTTTTTTTCCATCTGCCAGTTTTATGCGCACAATTTAGTTTAATCTTTTTTATGACAACAAGAAACATAATATAGTCAGTGTGAGTACTGATATTTAGTCATCTTGGATTTCTTTGCAGTGTCATACTGCTGGGGCTGTCTTCTTTGTTCACCTGTACCTTTAGTGCCGCAGCACCTGGGGGCGGGTGGGGTTCGTAGATTAATGTGACACTGTAGAATTAATTGTGGGATGGGATTAATCATAATTACCACCAATTAGGCTGCCACGTTTGGCAGGTGACTAAGGCCATTGTACGGGACGGTGTATAGCAGGTATATCTGTTGTAGATACGGCCAGGACACCTACGGCAGGCATCCTGGCCGCTGACCTTGTTCATGTGGCACCAGCCCTTCCATGTAATCAGACTTTGGTGACGAGGCCAGTTTTCAGGCAATCCGTGAAGCTGCCTGTGACCCTTGCAAGCCATCTACAGAGGAAGCCATTTTCATTGGTGACACTGTGACCCCCCAGCTAATAACAGAAGATGGTATCATGCACTCTCGCAATCAAAGTTTAATTTGCTCTGACTTGAATTCCTTGGCAGTTCTCATTTCATTTAGCAAACAGTTAATTAGTACTTCAGAATCAAGTCTGTCAAGTAATAATACACAGCGCAGCCCCGTTAGAATAATGATTTTTGATGCTTCTAATGGTAATGATGTTTTAAGTAATTTGTTATGTGTTCAAATAGTACTTTGATTTTTAAATGTTGTTCTTGAGCAAATCAATATTCTCAATGAAATGAGTTCATTTTAGTTGAAGTAAAAGTTCAAGTTTTCAGCTAAAATTAGTTTTCCTCTGTTTGGCATTTGGTCCCTATTGAGTTTCTGTGAAAGTTTTTTTTTTTTAAACTGCTATCTAAAATTATAAATTGGGCCTAAAACGGTTTTTTAAATAATGTAGGACCAAATGAATTGACCTCAACTGGTGTTTCCCCCCCCCAGTCTGATTCAAATTCTGCCTATTAAGCCAGAATTGTACAGTTTGATGATAAAATATAAGATTGCACTCCGGTGTGTCCATGGCTTTTGGGTTCACTGACGCTCTTTGGTGTGTTTGACCCAGGAGTGAAGGCGGTGTTCTCAGGCCACTATCACCGCAACGCTGGAGCCTCGCACGACGGCCTGGATATGGTGGTGAGCTCGGCCGTCGGCTGCCAGCTGGGAACGGACCCGCACGGCGTCAGGATAGTGGTGGTGACGGGAGACCGGCTGGTTCATCGCTACCACAGCCTGGATCAGCTGAGCGAGAAGGGCGTGGATGAGGATCTGATGAATCTCCTGGCCTGATCTCTCAACCCCCACTGCCCCTTCAGCAGATGGTACTCCGAGCAGAAGTCCAGCGGGGGCGACTTCCAAGGAGAGCCGTTCGTCTTCCAGGATCTGTGATAGCCATCATCTTCAGGACCTGATTAGTGTATTGTAATGATATCTTTCACTGTCCGCCTTTCCTACAAAGGCCTGTAAGTCCTTCCAAAAGGGATGCTGTCTGTACTAACCCAATGCTGCAGAACGAGAGTGAAATTATCACATGTGGACAGACGTGTTGCCTCAACAGTTCAAACCGGGGTTTGGGTTTGCCCATCTCATGATCTGAAATGTGATTAATGTGACAACAAGTCCGATTAATCCAACTGGCGTTCATGTTACGTCTCCGGTGAGAAAAATTGCGAGGGAAACGTATAAAACAAGGTCGGCGGTGGTGGAAAGATGCTCATGTGACCTGTGAGCTGACCTCATTTCATGCTGGGGTGGACTATTCGATCTGCTCTTTTCTTTAAGCTTGAAAGTACAATGTGAAAGAAGGCATTGTAGACTTTAATATGATTATGTGACAGCTGACTGAAGCCAGCTCTCATCACTGCATTCTCAGGCTTTCATTCTCATGTTATAATCTTTTTATTCACCATCTGATGTTGGTTGCTGGTGCTTCATTTCCACTTGCATTTAAGATTTTGGTAGATCTATGCTTGCTTCAATTTCTATAGCTACATTCATTTCTAAAAGCATGATTTGTAGGAATACAGTTCGCTAATTTCTTGTTAATGAGAAATAACAGGCATTACCAGTTAACATATAAATGGGAATGAGTCAGAAAAAAAGATGCAATCAGGAGTTTGTTAAATAAAATCTGTATTTACCAAATGTGTAATTGTGTCTGGTCCTCACAGAGGTTACATATCACAGGCTGAGAACTTATTTATTTAGTGCATATATATATACACACACACACTGTATATACTGTATATATATGTATACTTCTTATATGATTAACACTAGAAGGAAGGATTCAGTTTTTTTTCTCTCTCTTTTAAGCCGTGGGCCGTCTTTGTGTGATTGCTACATTCAGAAGGGCTATTGTCCGAGGTCAGGGGTCTTCTCTAATGTAGCATGAGCTTGAATCCATGGGGCCCCTGTTCTTCTCTCTTCCAGCCTCCATTTGGTTTGTTGATTCTCTGAGGTTTACCATGACGAAGGTCTTTCTTCTGCTGTTCGCTGGAAGTTCAAGGTTACCTCCAGAGCCGCTCCTCCATTCGGGTGGGGTGGCGAGGAGACGGTGGGGGGTGGGCAGGACTCCTGCCGGTGACAAATGAGAGGGAGCAGTGAGTTATTGATCACATCTGCCCCTCTTCTGCCTCCTTATCCGTTCTGGGCACCGCGGTGACCTGCTATTGGATAGCTCTAATGGAGCGCCGCTCTGCAGTCGTGTGCGCCTCTCTCTCCTGTCGGCTCCGCCGCCGAGATGAACCCCGGCTCCTAAAAATGGCGCTGCTGTCGCTGCCAGCAATTGCCCGACTCTCCGATTATGTGAGCTAATAGACACGAGGAATCTGTTAGCCTGTCAGCATTTGAAAACGGCTCTTTTGAGATGCTATATAATTAATCCAACCCTCCCCTCTTCCCTAATTTCTTTGTCAGCTGTATTCATTTGACTGAGCCGGAAAAAGAAACATTTAGGCTTGAACATGAACACAGACGTGAAGTTTGCAACGAAGCACGTAACCATCGATTTAAAGAGAATGTGTTCGGCTAATAAGTCCTACAGAGTAGCCTTTTGAAATGCTTTTATACAAGGACACTACAGACGTTCTGTTTTAACAACATGCAGTATCCCAGCCTGTTCACCCAGGCTAAGGTGCTGACCTGCTCATCACAGCTTTGTTTCCGAAGCGTCCGTTTTGCTGCATTTATTTTGACTAAGTGTTGTACTTTTGGGCAGCTTCAATGTGCAATCTAACCTCTAAGTGGCTGCTCCGCTCCGCTGCTCCTAGTCTCACGGAATCACCGATGACGGCTCTCTGACCCCTGCTGCCCCTTCCTCACACCCTCTGGACAGAGAGCTGGTTGCCTTGTCCTTGTTTTGACAAGTCTGCTGTTTGCCCTCCTGCTGGTCCTGTGGTCTTAGGCCGTAGAGCAGAGCTCCTCCCTGACCGCCTGGCCCTGAGAAGGCTGGCCTTACTCACCCGTCTGCTCCCGCAGGATGACTCGCCTCTGACTCTGCATGGAAACTTTCTTCTGGACGGTTCCCCATCCGCATTCCACCCACCACCGCTCGCACAACCTCACCCTGGCCTGCTTCATTTGCATTTTTCTTTTAAATTCAAAGCATATACAATTAAAAAATGTGGTCAGCCAATCCCTGTAGCGATTGGGGTTAAGAGGCTTTGCCAAGGGCCCAACTGTGAGATCACCCTGCCAACTACAAGATTTGAACCAGCGACCTTGTGATCATGGATGTTGGATCCTAACCTTCATGGCCCATAATGCCCCAAACCAGGCCAACCATTCTGTTCAAAAGTAACAGCAGCACAAAAGAGATGCATCCAACTATTCTCTCAAATGTGAAGCTAAGGCTGGGCACTATGGCTTAAAATTTATATTGCGGCATAATTTGAAGTACTATGTATCTGTGATATTTTTGTTTTAATTAAAATATCACTACAAATGCTTCTGAAGGAGTACAGCACTGATATGGCTACTGCATGCCAGTAATTACTGTACTCTTAACTGTATTACTTGGACGTATTTCACATAGTACACAGGTATTTTAATAACATTCAGTGATTTTCTATAACCACCTGTCCTATTCGGAGTTGCAGGGGGTCTGGAGCCTATCTCCGAGGCTAGGCAATTCTTTGGTACAGACTGATGCTGAGGTCTGCTCTGCTGGTTAACACGGTATAGCCCAAATCTATACCTTAGGGCAAATTTATACCAGTGTATGTTTATTACACTGTCTGGCAATAAAGCCAGAACCGCTTTCTGTTCTCTCAGGCTTTAATACTTTGTTGTGCTACAAAATTAAAAAATTACTGCTTCAGAAAGCTTGCGTTGTTGTTTTCAAAGTGCTGTTACAATAATGTGCAAGGAAAGGCTTTCAAAACCACTTTGTACATGTGCTGTAAATTTTACAGACTTTGATAGTTGCCGCTGAGCCTGTGTAACGTCATGGGTTTTCCAGTTTTTTCCCACCGGTCACATGAGTCCATCCATGGATCAGAGAGTCAGTCGGGACGCCATTGAGGATGGTCGGTGTCTCCCAGTGATGGACTTTGAGGGCTTTTCCTGCAATGGCGCCACTTGGTTAAAATTAGAGTCAGGTGTGAAACGATGTGGGAATTAATAAAAGTAAAAGAATCGCTTGCCCAACATGAGTCACCCCAACTTAAACTAGCTGGAATAAAATGAAGACCACACCAGTGACAGAAATCATCAGCGGGCACATATCGGGACAGGTGGCGAATCTGTGAAATAAAACTCAGCGTACCCCGTCATAGCTTGGCACAGGAGAAATAACCATCTCACCATCTGCCCCCAGAGAGAGCACCATCTGGGAGACCTCCGCCTCTCACTGCCCCATCCACGCCGTCTGTCTGGCCCGCCTTACGGAGCATGAGCCTCTAAGAAGTTCCCTGTCCCCCCCCCGCCCGCTCCTACTTATTGGCACAAACAATGTGTATTAACATATTAAAAATGAGAATAATCAGTGTGTCTGCCCGCCTGCTGCGTGACGAAAGCGTTCAGAAATATTTATAACTTCTTTCTAAACACGAGAGCTCAAGAGTGTCGACAGGCACGGTGATCTTGCTGGGTTCGTTTGTTTATCGTTAGTAGCGGTGGGGTGTATTGGAGGTGGCTGCATAGCTAGAAATTCTGGGCCCCTGGCGAAATGTCACCTTGGGGCCCCTAAGGTGAAATGATCTTGGTCTTGAAATAGGGTCTCCATAGCATATTTTGCCAAGCCTTGGAGTATGGATTTTGGGGCCCCTATGTTGCGCTGGGCCCCCTGAATCTGCCAGAGTATCCTTGCCCCTGTAACAAATGCTATGAATATATCCTAATGCTGTCTTAGTCACTATCTACACATAAAGTTTATCTATTTTTTTCTGTTTTTTGTTACATTGTCACAGTAGACATGGCAGCAAACGTTATCTTCATCTCATTTTGGTTACGGTAAAGGCAAAGCCGTAATCCCAATGATATCATTTGATGTGACCTCATATTTTTATTCCAAATGCTTGTCACAGATGATATTAGCTTATTAATCACAAAATTACACATGCTGCTTTTTTTGTCTACAAGGTTCAAAATAAGTAAATCGGTACTGCTGGTCTTGTTGAATCAACAGCGTTGCACATGTCATATCTCGACTGTGATGGAGATCATCAATTCGATTTCGAAGCTGTCAGTGTGTGTGGTCTGCAGATATGCTCCAGTGTAATCAGTAACTGTCAATGGTTGCGTTTCATGTTATGATTTTGACAGACACATTATAAAGACAAACCTTCACCAGAAATAATTTACGGTCCCTCCACCAAAAATGATATTGCTCCACTTTGTTAATCCCCATTGAGTTTCTGCAAAGAACTATTAAACACAACTTCTTTTCTAAAATAAAATCTTACTCTGACATCATGAAAAGGTGTTGCTGTTGTGTTTTGCTGTTTATTTTTAATCACCTGTGTGTTTCTGATCATTTTTCATTAATGTAACATGCTCTGCATGTCCTAAATCTTTATATTTAAATGTAACTTATCATCTTTTCTGCTTCTCAATGCAGTGTTCATTTTAAATTCTTTAATACACTACTGTAGTCCAAATGATGGTAAATGGGTACTATGCATCAAATGAAAAACTACCAGCAGTAACTTCATTTTATTATTTACAAAAATGAACTTGTTCAGCGTATATGTTGTGTAACATATTGTGTTTTTTTCCCCTCGTTTATAAAGTTAGTTTGTCGGGAAAAGTGGAAGACTACTTTCTGGGTGCATTTTAAAAACTGTTTCGCAAGTGGGATTTATTAAAAATATAAAAATGTATGGCAATATGTTATGAATGGTCAGCCCTGACTGATGTATTAGCGTTTTGTGGCGCCGCAGCACTGGGCCGCAGGCTGGTGTTTGCTAACTGACTTGCACTTGCAGCAGTAACACTGTAGGGGTGCCCATGCCTGCAGCACACGGAGAAACACGCACAATTTGTCCACATTTCAATATTTCAAGCCCGATTGAAATGGGGTGTTAGTTTACGATGCATGGAAGGAAATTTATTCATGAGATTTCCTGTCGTGGGTCACGACCATGTGGAGGGTGCCTGACTTATCATTTTAATGTATGGCAGGTACGGAAAGATCCCAGTCCTCGCCGTCGTTCATCTAAAGTCAGAATGAACCCCCCCCCCCCCCCCAGGCCCACTGGGTCTGTGCTGGATGAGAACAGAAGAGGGGAAGGGGACTTGGTTTTGCTGTCAAGACGCAGGATTTCTCAGAAAAACATCAGTGACGTTCAGGATTCCGCGCAACACCAGTATCGCTGTGGTGGAAATTCAGCTCTGGTGCTGTGTTTGTGTGCTGTTTGTTCGGAGCAGCACCAGACCCCCCCGGGGAGAAGAGCTTTGCCGCTCGGCTGTGGAAATTGGTGTAAGACTGTAAGCTATGTGTGTCACATTGGATGGGAGCATCTGCTCCGCAATTAAATAATGCAAATCCTGCAACACAGCGAGTGAGCGAACCATTGTTATCTCCTCAGATATGGGCCACGGAGACGAGATTTCTATGGTTGTTGCCTGCTCGCTGTGGGCTGATGGTCATCAGTGTTTGTGTGACAAGTTTTTTGCATATAAACATTACTCAGCAACCCTGC